AAAAAAAACCCCTGTTTTGAAAACAAGAGAGAGAGAGGGAGGGAGGGAGGGAAGGAGAGAGAGAGAGAGAACAATTAAGGCTATGGAGTCCAAAGAGATAAGATTTAGTGATAACTGTAAACATGGTAGTCTTTAACCATCCCAAATGTTATATCCAACCATTATTATTCAGTGAATATGTTATTGACAGACTTTTTCTCTCATCTTCCCCTCTTTTTTTTTTTTTTCCTTCTTTTCCTCCTTTGGCCTCCCCTGTTGCTGCAGCTGCCCCCCCCCCCCCCCCCACACACACACTTGGTATTTTTAAGACAAGGTCTTGCCACATAGCTCCAAGTAGTCTGAGTCTGGAGTACCCTGTAACACACCACCATGGCCTTAAACTTGAGGTGCCGTGCTTCTGCTTTCTGCTTTACTTCCTATTCTCTATGGAAGAAATGCTGAGATGTTAAAACATAAAACCTTGTGCAATTGATCTAGAAACAAAAATGAACATTAAATGTAGGATTCTCTTCACTAACCCTTTATCTGACAGAGGACTAATATCCAGTATATACAAAGAACTAAAGAAGCTGAAAAGCAGCAAACCAAGTAATCCAATTAAAAAATGGGGAACAGAGCTAAACAGAGAATTCTCGACAGAGGAATATCAAATGGCAGAGAAACACTTAAAGAAATGCTCAACCTCATTAGCCATCAGGGAAATGCAAATCAAAACGACCCTGAGATTTCACCTTACACCCATCAGAATGGCCAAGATGAAAAACTCAAGTGACGACACATGCTGGAGAGGTTATGGAGAAAGGGGAACCCTCCTCCACTGCTGGTGGGAATGTAAACTGGTACAACCACTTTGGAAATCTATCTGGCGCTTTCTCAGACAGTTAGGAATAGTGCTTCCTCAAGACCCAGCTATACCACTGCTAGGTATATACCCAAACTTTGCTCAAGTACACAAAAGGGATACTTGCTCAACCATGTTTGTAGCAGCTTTATTTGTAATAGCCAGAACCTGGAAACAACCCAGATGTCCATCAATGGAGAAATGGGTACAGAAATTATATTTTTACACAATGGAATACTACTCAGCAATCAAAAAGGAGGAAATCATGAAATTTGCAGGCAAATGGTGGGATCTAGAAAAGGTCATTCTGAGTGAAATATCCCAGAAGGAGAAAGACAAACATGGTATATACTCACTTATATAGACCTATAAGATATGATAAACATAATGAAATCTGTACACCTAAAAAAGATAATCAAGAGAGCGGACATGAGGTAAGATGATCAGTCCTCGTTTAGAAGAACAGATGGGATGTGCATTGAACGTATAACAGGAGTCTACTGAGGTCATCTGAAAGACTCTAACTAGCAGTGTTTTCAAAGCAGATACAAAGACTCATGACCAAACCTTCGGCAGAGTACAGGGAATCATATGAAAGAAGGGGAGTTAGTCTGATGGGGAAAGGATAGGAGCTCCACAAGGACCAAATATATCTGGGCACAGGGTCTTTTCAGAGACTGTCATTCAACCAAGGACCATGTATGGATATAACCTAGAACCTCTGCTCAGATGTAGCCTGTGGTAGCTCAGTAACCAATTGGTTTCCCATAGTGAGGGGAACAAGGACTATTTCTAACAGGAACTCAATGACTGGCTCTTTGACCTCCCCACCCCCCAAGGGAGGAGCATTCCTGCTAGGCCACAGAGGAGGGCTTTGCAGCCAGTCCTGAAGATACCTAATAAAACAGGATTGGATGAATGGGGAGGAGGTCTCCCCCCAATCAGTGGACTTGGAAAGGGGCAGGGAGGAGATGAGGGAGGGAGGGTGGAATTGGAGGGAATGAGGGAGCGGGATATGGCTGGGATACAGAGTTAATAAAATGTAACTGATAAGAAAAAAAATAAAAATAAAAAAAAATATAGGATTCTTAAAACATTCTCCTGTTCTGATTTCTCAGATGTGTTTGTACTGAGCCATCTAACCCTAGCAATGAAACCATGGAAGTGTGGAAGAGAAAGAATGTGACAGCAGACAGTATTTCCTGGGGAAACCTCACTGTTTCCGTAAGTCCATTAGGGATTGGGGAGCACCTAGGTCCGTGGAAACCTGGCTTTGGTCTCCTCGCTATTTTGCTGTAGAGTTGGTTTCACATGGTAGCTGGTACTGGCCAGAATTTGCAGCAGTCTTATCTTAGCCTCCCCTGCGCTAGGATTCAGGATGTGAGCCTCCATGTCCAGTTTTCTTCAGTTTTTTTCTGATTATACGTAGCTTTCTTCTTGATAATAAATATGTAGATTGTTTTCAAAATACATTGTTTTGTTATTTTTTAATTTTGATTTTTAATTTATGTGCTTCTTTGTGGCTGTGTGCATGAGTGCAAGTATTTTCAGGCCAGAAAAAGGTGTCAGATCCCTCCGAGCTAGAATTTTCAGCAGTTGTGAGCACCCAGCATGGGTGCTGGGAACTGAACTCAGGTCCTCTGAAAGCCAGCCTATGTGCTCTTAAACCCTGCCCCATCTCTGCAGCCTCTGTTTTCGTTTACTTAAGTGAGGTGTAAGGTCTCAGATCAGTGATTCTCAGCCTTCCTAATGCTGCAGCCCTTTCATGTAGTTGGTAAGCCGTAGCCATAAAGTTGTTTCATTGCCATTTCATAACTGTAATTTTACTATTATTATGACTCATAATGTAAATGTAAATATCTGAAACGTGACTCCTATGGGAGTCTCAACCTCCAGGTTGGTAATTGCTACCTTAGACCCAGGACCTCACATATGCTGGGCAAGTGCTTTACTGCTGAGCTACAGCTCCAGACCAAAATGTGGGTGTTCTCACTAAAATTTTAATGATCACATTGCTGCTCATGAAAGGCCATGTTTTAATCTCAGGTGTCAAGTTAGAGCTAAATTGGTTGCCTTTACTTTTTCTTTTCCTTCCTTTCTTCCTTCCCTCCTTCCCTCCCTCCCTCCCTCCCTCCCTCCCTCCCTTCCTTCCTTCCTTCCTTCCTTCTTTCCTTCCTTCTTTTCTTGATTTCTTTTTTGCTTTTTCTAGGGGAGAGGTGAAATCTCATTTATTCCAGGCTGTCGTCAGATTATAAATAATAGAGACTTGTAATAATAGAGACTTGTCCTGAATTCCCTGTCATTCTGCTTCACCGTGAGAGAGCTAAGGATTATGAGTTTATACCACCATGCGCAGCTCCAATTATCCTTTAAGGCAATTCTCTATCCATGCTTCATTCAGCATCTGTAAAAATTACAGTATTTAATCCACCTGTTCAGACAGTGTGGCTGTGGCCTACAGGGATGCAGAGGAAACATTTCATAGCACTCACCGTGAACCTTTCTCTAAAGGGAACATATAGTAAAAAGAAAGGAGAAAATTGGTGAAATGTTCTTTTTCAGTGATTTTGATAGAAATAGCATAACATCCCTAATTGATGATGTGGTATAGTTAGGTTAGCAGAAGCTTTCTGGGTAAAGAATGAAATTGATGTCTTAGATTCAACTATACTCTTGAGTACTCTATTGAATACTTGAAAATCTCCATCTTCTTCCCTCTCCTGCCCCTCCAGGAGTGTAAGACTTTCCACGGTATGTTTGTGGGATCAGCTTGTGGTCCTCATGGGCCTTATGTTCCCGATGTGCTCTTCTGGTGTGTAGTCTTGTTTTTTACGACGTTCTTTCTGTCTTCATTCCTCAAGCAGTTTAAGACCAAGCGTTATTTTCCTACCAAGGTAACTGGGATGCATTTTTGGTAATATTTATGTTTTCGTTGGTTTATTTCAAAGCAATAATTTATTATTTATGACTAATACTTTATGCTAAATAGTTTAAGATAAATTGCTTTTAGTAAAAAGTAATATTGGCCAGGCATGGTGGCACATGCCTTTAATCCCAGCACTTGGGAGGGAGACACAAGTGGGTCTATGTGAATTTGAGGCCCTTCTGGTCTACAGAGCTAGTTCCAGGACAGCCAGAACTATACAAAGAAACCCTGTCTCAAAACCAAAACATACATATATATATGTACATATATGTCTGTGTGTGTAGTTTTATTAGGAGTATATATCGTTATGTATACTATATATACATATATACTTTACATATCTGAACACACAGGAGAAAGATAATACTGTGAAAAAGTGAAAGGTAGTGTGATGTGACTTGTTTCTTATGTTTTGAGGATAAAGTGGACATACACATATATAACACTATTAATTATTAGTAGTCTCATCCATACATTAGTGACATATTTTATGAGAAAGACATGAATTCTTGAAAAAGCACAGGAAGTAATTCTATTTATATTAATGTAATCCCTCTATTATAGGTGCGATCAACAATCAGTGACTTTGCTGTATTTCTCACAATAGTAATAATGGTTGTAATTGACTACCTTGTGGGAATTCCATCTCCTAAACTTAATGTTCCTGAAAAGTTTGAGGCAAGTATTAAAAGAAGTAACTGGTTTTGGAAATATCAGACTACTTAGTGCGGAGAAAGCTTGTACGCAGGACCTTGTGGTTATTAGACAAGAGCTCTTGTGAAGTGCAGTCAGTTCACATTTTTTTATTGACAAATATATATTTAAATTTTAGTACCTCCTGTTCTTCAGAATAGAAAATTCTCTAATTTATGTCTACAGTGTTTGCTGTAAAAATCCATTTCATATTACTGAATGTGAGAAGGTACATATATTTTTGTGAGTAGTTTGGGCAGTTCTGGTGCAGTAGCAACTTTACCATGAGCACTAGTTTCAGGGATCTAACACAAGGCACTTTAGGAGTCGACACAAGAGAGATTTGATTTCACCATAGATGGTGTATATAGGTCCTATTTAAAGTGTCATTCTAGTTTACGTGTCTGTCTCTGCAAGCCAACCTGCTCACACCAGTTCTTTGAAGATGGACACTGTGGTACATGCCTATAATTCCAAACTGAGGAGGCTAAAGCAGGAGGCTTATAAGTTTGAGGCTGTCTTGGATTACATCATGAATTCCAGGCTAGTCTAGGCTACTTAGCAACACCTTGTGTTTTCAAAATAAACAAGTTCAAACAAACAAGACCAAAGTTCAACCCCAAACTATTAGTCTCTAAACAATAAACATCAGTTATAACTCTTTAGCAGATGGGCTTGCCAGGTGGGATGTGGTCCGGTTAGTAGGTCTTCCTCTTTTCACATGTCTAGTTGTCTAGCGGCTTTTGCCGGGGGGTGGGTATGTAGGGCAGTGTAGCTTTATTTACTGATCTGGAGACTCACCTCAGGGGTTGAAACAGTTGTTAGTGGTGGCCTTTGTCTTCCCTGCTTCTGCTTTGTATCTTTCCTCAAAGAAAGTATATTCAAAAGCACAGTCATCACAGGACTTTGAGATGTTAAAAAGCTTCATGGTTGAAGTCCAGACTTGACAATCGTACATGTCACTTTGGGCTTACTTTGTCTATGTCTTAGTTGGGGTGTTGTTGTGTAGAAATACCCATGACCATGGCAACTCTTATAAAGAAAAACATTTCGTTGAGGCTGGTTTACAATTTCAGAGGTTTAGTCCATGATTGCAATGGTGGAGACATGGCAGTGTGCAGGCAGACATGGTGCTGGAGTAGTTTAGATTCTACAGCAGAGAGAGACCAGGTGCTTCACTGGGTGCCTCACTGGGTAGAGCTTGGCTATCGGAGACCTCAAAGCCTGCCCCCACAGTGATACTCTTCCTCCAACAAGGCCACACCTCCTAATTGTGCAATCCCTATGAGCCAAGCATTCAAACACATGAGTCTGTGGGGGCCATGCCTACTCAGACCAACAGTGTATTAAGTTAGAAAATAATCTTGAGTTGAAGAAGCGAGAATAGATGCCACTGTAGATGGAGACTGGGCAAGTCCCATGACAAGGGTGTGCAGGTAGGCGCAGGATGAATTTCTCTTGATTATCTTATCTTTGCAAATAATTTACCACACATCCTTTTTTCTGTCCCTTGGTATTTTATGGAATAGATCCACTATGTGCTGTGGAAATTGAATACAGCAGAGGAATGAAACTTTCTCTTTATTTTTAAACTTTAATAGCCTACTGATCCAAGTAGGGGCTGGATCATAAGCCCTTTGGGAGATAACCCTTGGTGGACCTTACTAATTGCAGCTGTTCCAGCTCTGCTTTGTACCATTCTCATCTTTATGGATCAACAGATCACAGCTGTAATCATCAACAGAAAAGAACACAAACTCAAGGTAAATCTAAAAGACTTCTTTAAGGGTTTGCAGTATTTTCCTTAACAACAAGTACATTTAAAAGTGCAAAATGAAAGTTGGTTTCTTCCTTTTTGATAATTAGTTCAGACTTCATTTAATATGACTTACCAATGTTCATTTCCTTTTTCAGAAAGGAGCTGGCTATCACCTTGACTTGCTAATGGTTGGTGTCATGTTGGGAGTCTGCTCTATCATGGGCCTACCATGGTTTGTGGCTGCGACAGTGTTATCTATAAGTCATGTCAACAGCTTAAAAGTAGAATCTGAATGTTCTGCTCCAGGGGAACAGCCCAAGTTTCTGGGGATTCGTGAACAGCGGGTTACAGGGCTGATGATTTTTATCCTGATGGGCCTCTCTGTGTTCATGACTTCAGTACTAAAGGTAAAATCCTTTGCAGACACATCATGAAATTTTACTTATCTTAACATTTTTATTTAATTATATAGAAATTAAACATTGAAATATGTGTGAATGTATAAAATCAGTTTTTCTCCTGTAATTTAAAATCCATGCAAGTTTAGAAATACCATTTGGCAGTGTTTTTCATATAGTAAGCATGTAGATAAATGAATTATAGCCTACAGGCCCATCATTTGCAGCATGCATTTGGAGTGAGTTAATCAACGTGTGGTTTGAACAGTACAGGAAATAATTGGAAAAAATGGAAGATAATTACTTTGGTTTCTTTAAAGTACTTTCTTTAAGTTAATGGACTTAATATGTTCTTTCTTGATATAGCACATGAAATAAAAATAGTGTATACCAGAAAATTTTTAAAAATGGTATTACCAATGGAACCTGTAAGAAATTTTATTAATCACATTTTTCTTTTATCTATATTTTATAGATAGAAACCATACAGAATATAGTAATTTAAAAAAACAAATTTATAGCAAAATATCTAATCTGAAAGTTTTTTATTTATTATGTAAAAACCCAACTCCATATTTATCTTTGATATTTTAGTTATTTTTGCTATAAAGAAAAAGGCTGAATAAACGTTTATACAACTTTTAAACTAGAAGACACCTGTGTGTATAAGATTTAAAAGGATAGTCACCACTGTTGGAATTTCTTGGGCTCATTTCATGGATTGTACACCAGGCAGTTTAAGCACCAAGGTCTATGGACTGCTTTCCATGCTGTTAGGCGCAGGAGTTAGGAATAAATAGGTGTAGTATTGTTTTTCTGCAGGTACTCCACAGTCTGCTAGTGAGATGGGGAGGTGAACTGATACAGTAGTGGTATAGTGCAGACAAGAGAAGTATTTTATGTAGTCTTTTGGGGATGAGGGCCCATTGAAGCTCTTTGAAAATTTCCCTTTAAGTCTTACAGCTCATAATTAAATGAATAAAATGCTGTATACGAATACAAGAACTCAACTTGAACATGAAGAAAGAGAACTTTAAAATGAAACTTAGTCTCCAAATAATTTTTTACTTTTTAAAAGCAACTCTTCAGAGACAGTTCTTTTCAACTTTGTGATTTAAATTAAGAAAAAAAATGTGTGTGTACGTGCATGCATGTGTGTGTGTGTGTTTGTGTGTGTGTACACCTACAGGCACACATGTACAATAGTGGGAGTGTGAAGGTCAGAGAACAACTTTTGAGAGTCTGTTTCTGTCATTCTATGTTGGGTTCTAGAGACCACACTCAAATCGTCTGGCTTGCTTAGCAAGAGCTTTGACTCACTGAGCCACTGGCTGTTTAACTTACTCTAGTATTATTTGGGTATGGTGGCTCATGTCTATAATGCTAGCACTTGGGCAGGGGTTAGGTGGGGTTGGGCTAAGACAGAATTGTAAGTTAGAGGCTAGCCTGGACTATATAGTGAATCCCTGCATCAAAGTTAAAGGGCTGGCAAGATGAGTCAATTAGTAAGGGGACTGGCCAATGGCAGGTTTGACAAGCTTAGTTAGTTTCATCCCCAGAATCCATATGTAACCTTAAATATTATTATATTTATTAGACTTATGTTTATGTTGGCCCTTTTTTATCCTCGAGCAGAGCACTCCAAAGACATTTTGGAGTCCCTGTCATCCTGTCAGGGTTCTTCCATACCTGCAAAAGGCAGGGTTTTTCATGTTTGTCATTCAAAAGAGGCTCTTACAGCATATTGCTGTACACTAAGCACAGGATTAAAGACTTTTCTTGTCTCCTGCTAAACAGCACTAAAGAGAATTACAAAATGTAAAGCGGTGCTATTCTTTAACTTCATTTTGTTTTAGAAATTACAGTTTTTTATGGAAGTATGTTTCTGTCCTTGATTAAGTTGGTAGGTACAGTGCTTGATGTGTAAGCATAAATCCTGAGTTAAGATCTCAGCATCCGTGAATAAAGAAACCTCTCATCCTACTGCTCTGGAAGTGAAGACACATATATCCTCTGAGATTGTTGGCAGCTAGTTTTGCCTAATTGGTGTGCTCTAGATTTGGTAAGGGACCCTGTCTTTAAAATAAGATAAAATAGGGGCCTGGAGAGGTGGCTCAGAGGTTAAGAGTGCTGGCCACTCTTCTAGAGGTCCTGAGTTCAACTCCCAGCAACCACATGCTGGCTCATAACCATTTATAATGCGATCCATTGCTCTCTTCTGACATGCAGGTAGAACACTGTATTCAAATAAACAAATGAATCTTCAAAAATAAAAATAAGATAAAATAAAAAGGTAGTACTTGATGGAGGAAGGTACCAGCCAGTTAATATCCACATATTCATAGACAAGTGCACCTTCCTACACATTGTTCTTTATGCCAGCATCTCATGGTTATTAATATTATTCCTGTTATCTTCAAATTGATAATAGATATTAAAAATATCTTTAAATTTTGCACACAGAACCAGGATTTCCTAGAGAAGACCTGCCAGGATATGGGGCTGGCATCTTTATCCTGCAGCTTTAGAAGGACATTATTAGTGTAAATGCTGTCTGCTGCATTGGTGCTGGGCAGCTGTAAGCTAATACTTTAGTGGTTGGTGGTGTGTCAGCCACTCTGTTGAGTGTTCTATGTATTTGAAGGATTTTTTTCAGCTTGTACAACAAGCTGAAGCACAGAAGGCTGTTTTGTTTAGAAAATTAACTACGTTTTAAATTAATCTGTTGACTGAAGTGCCCTTGCTCCTCATACCTGAGCACACTCCCTTTTAATGAACAGTCTGCAGATTGACTGTCTCTCAAATGTATGAACAATACACCTATTTGCTTCTTGTCCTATAGGAATGTAGGTCCAGTCCTTATCACAAAAGAACTTTTAGCTTTGTCACTATAATTACTCATCAAATATTTCTGTGTACTCATTACTATAAAATTATTTCAGTATGATGAATTCTAATTGTAATAATTTTATTTACAGTTTATCCCAATGCCAGTTCTGTATGGTGTTTTCCTTTATATGGGAGTTTCATCATTGAAAGGAATTCAGGCAAGTATTTAACAATGGAACAATGTAAAAATTGCAGAAGTTGTACTTGTGACTATTTTCTGTCTTTTTGCATCAAATCCACATTTACTGTTCACTGCTCATTTTATGCTTTTACCCCAAAAGAATGAGGTGATTAATTCACCAACTTAAACCCAATGAAAGGTCACATACCTGCTCAGTGAAGACTAGTATAGTAAAGGAAAGATGAAAGGGTCAGAATGGAAACTTTTTTCTGATGTGGAAAACAACACGTTCAGCACTGAGAAGGGGTAATTAATTAATTTCTTATAAAAGTCTATGTTACAATGAGGCTTATCACGTAAATTGTTTTCTCTAATCCTTAAAATGATGACTGATGGAGGAGATGAGGAGTTCTTGTTTTATAAAGTAGGATGTTACGGCAGTGTGGGTGTCAGCAGAGGTTATATTGTTAGGAACCCAGAGCCAGTGCTTCCTGCACTTTGTGGCAACAGTCCACTAAAATTTACTCAGGTACAAGCCTGAATAGAAAATGTTTATATTAGCACAGTGAGCCCCACAGTGGCCACCTCACCTCATAAAAACTGTGCTGTCCAGTCACTCATTGGTGTAAAGGTAGCTATCAGCAAGTCCCAAAGCCAGCATGTCTCCTGTCTTAGTTAGGGCTACTATTCCTGTGAAGAGCCATATGACCATGGCAACTCTTATAAAGTAAACATGTAATTGGGGGTGGCTTACAGTTTCAGGGGCTTAGTCCACTATCTATCTGATGGTGAGCTAGCATGGTGGGAAGCAGGCAGATATGTGCCAGAGAGGTAGATGACAGCTCTACATTTTGTTCTTCAGACAGCAGAAGTGACTGCCACACTAGGCCTAGCTTCAGCATCAGACCTCAGTGGCCACTCCCAAGTGACACACCTCTTCCAGCAAGGCCATACCTCCTAATAGTGTCCTTTGGGCCTTATGGGCCTTCAAGAGACATTTTTATTCAAACTACCACATTCTTTTTCCTGGTCCCCATAAACATGTAGCCACATTATAATGCTAAATGCATTTAGTCCAACTTTAAAAGTCCCTATTTTCTCTAATAGTCTCAAACTTGTTTAAAAGTCCAAAGTTAAAAATCTGCCTAAGACTCATTTAATCTTTTTAACTGTGATCTGTAAAATCAAAATGAAAAAACAGATCACATACTTTCAACATACAGTGGCACAGGATATACATTATCATTCCCAAAGTGAGCATAGTAAGGAAATACTGGAACAAAGAAGGCCAAAAAGCAGCCTGGCGAACTCCAGACTGCATCTTTGATGCAGTCTGACATCAAACTGCATGTTTGATGTCAAAGTGTCCCCCAGATCTCCAACTCCTTTCAGCTTTGTTGACTGAAACACACTTCTCTCTCTTAGGCTGGTTCTATCTCCTGTTAGCCCTCCACAGGTATCCCACGGCTCTGGCATCTTCAACATTTTGTGGTCTCAAGGCAAACCCGGCTTCACCTTCACAGCTTCACACAGTGGCTGTAGGCCTCCTCGCAGGGACATTCCTGACACATGCCAGGCCTCATTAGTCTTGGAGGGAGATTTTATAACCCCCTTTTTCTATTCGTGACTTTAAAGCCAGAATCACATGGCCGAAACTGCAGAGTTTCTCTGCTCACTGGGACTGGAAGATGGTCCTCTCGCTCAATTACGTCCTTACTAACTGTGCTTTTGATGGTTTGCTTTACTGCATAAGCTTGGCTCTCCTGAAACTCATAGAACAGCTTGACCATGAACACTGAAATCTGCTTGTCTCCGCTTTCCCAGTCTGGGATTAAAGGCTGTGTACCACTGTTCCTGGCTCTATGTTTTCCTCTAATTCCTTTTCACAAGTTGGAACCTTAGCAGTGTGGGTTCTTACCCTGATGTCACCACTCCATTTAGTTCAGGCTCTTTAATCTTTTTATCTCCTTGAGCATAGGACTTATCTCCATTCCAATATTCTTTTCTCCTCAAATTGTACATTTTGTATTTTTACTTGCTCAGTTTTCTTTTATAAAAATGCACAATCTTGTCCACAGCCATTAATAACCAAGCAACATAGTCAATACTAGGCTGTCTGGAAATGTCCTCTGCCAAAGTTGTTAATCCGTAACCTCTTCAGTTTAGCCTCTGGCAGATATTTTGGCCAAGGACAAAAAGCAGCCACATGCTTAACAAAATATCACAAGAATAGTTGCTGCAGCACATACTAAACTGGGCTAGCCGCCTAGGCTGGCTTAAACTTACAGGAGTCTCCTGCCTTTCTCATTAGTGGTAGAATTACAGGTATATATCAGCCTTCATTTTTTTCCTTTGATTTTTCTTTCTCTTTAGATCCAGAAATTCTTTCCCAAAACATTCTTCTGTACTATCAGAACATATCCAAGAACTTACAGTTTCATTTAACACATACACACAAAACCCTAAAAATTATAATTTCCTAAATAGAGAAATTGTTTTTTGTTGATAAGTTCTTTTCTGTTCCTTCATTTCATGTGTAGTTTTTTGACCGTATCAAATTATTTGGGATGCCTGCCAAGCACCAGCCGGACCTAATCTACCTCCGCTACGTCCCCCTGTGGAAGGTGCACGTGTTCACTGTCGTCCAGCTGACCTGCCTCGTCCTTCTGTGGGTGATCAAAGCCTCTGCTGCTGCAGTAGTTTTTCCCATGATGGTGAATTTTTTTATTTTGTTACTAATTTATAATGGAATTGATAATTTCATGTTAACAGTTTAAAAATTATAATTGATCTTGAGGAACGAAATGCCTCTTTTAAGTATCTTAATTATTTTAAAATGTTGATCAACTTCCAGCTATAAACTAGTACTTTGCATTCTGAGTAGTCTCATATTCTAAAGTTGTTTATTAGTTTTTAGTCCTTAGGCTATAGAGCTCTACTTTTCTGGTTCTATGTAACTCCAGAACTTGGGACATGCGTAGAACAAATTTGATAGGCAGGTGCATAAAGCAAAGCAACTAAAACATCATGACTTTGAAGTGGGATTCTGCAATATATTTTTCTAAAAATTGACAGATCTAGAAGTTAAACATAAGTTTTAAAAACTTATGAAGGCCATAGAGGATTTTAATAAGTCACACTCAATATACCTCATTAAGTCATCTTTCAGTATTATTATTTTTGCAAATAGGTAGTATCATGCAAATAGGTAGTATTTGTCTTTTTATGGGTACTACGCAAAATCTAATTATTAATTTATCCACAAAAGTCATGAAAAGACTCAATTGTTAAGACTAGTTGAGCAGTACTTCCTGATCACAGGTAAATTACATTTCAGTATGACGCTTTTAAGGTAATGTTACAGATTTGGAAATTAAACCCTATGTAAATGTCATGTTAAAGAATCCAGTGGACTTAAGGAAAGACCATCATAACAATATGTTTTTAAAGCTTTTAGTACAGCTAGGATTGTGTACTCAAAGAAAGTTGTGCACCACACATAGGCATTATTTTCCACGAAGGCAAAATAAATGCAACAAAATCAGTAGTGGCCCAGTTTCTACCTAGTCAGGTAAAAGAAAACGAGAGAATAAGTTACTTCTGTAAGCACAAGAAGAAGAAAAAAGATGTAGCCACAGATGCACACGAGACCCAAATGGACTAAGTTCACTGGACATCTAGAGCACAAGGGTCAATAAGTATTTTTCTGTAAAGATCTAGATAATATTTTAGGCTTTGTGGGTCAGGAGAATATTCTATAGTACTTAAGTAATACAAGGGAGAAGTACATTTGTATAATTTCTTAGTGGTAAAATTAAAGAAATAGTTTTACTTTTTTAAATGCAGGACTATTATATTAAAGAATGACATTCTCTTACAGAGGGAACATTTCACTTAGTTCATGTTCTAGGTCATACTGCATTTATTATCAAAGTTGGAGGTGTTACTCAGTAGTACTATTGCCTAGAATGTGCAAAGACTGAGTTTGATTCTTGCCACTGAAATAAAGAAGGAAAACAAACCTTTATTCTCAGAATTGTTCCAAAAGTTGTTTATAAAAACCATTTCTAGTCCATGAGCTCTACAAAAAATGGCTGGTGGCCCAGGTTTGGCTTGGGAACTATGAGTTGCCACCTCTTGATCTATAGGAAGGGGGGTTATTATTGTACTGTGTATGCATTTTCTCAGGTAGTCCAAGCAGAAAGGTTGAACCAGGGCATAGCCTACGTTCAAGAAGAGACTAGGAAAGCAGCTGAGAATAGCAGGCTCTGATTGATGAACATTAAAAGATTGGATAGTGATCGTAATTCTAGAACCAAGGAAAAGCTGGAAGTTTTTTTAATCAGGAAACACTAGTAAGATCTCAGTACCAAAACCTAATGAAGTTGTGAGAGATCTATGGTGTTTTTATACGATTAAGTACAATCAACTTAAAATGCTAGCATATAAGCTCAGCATTATTTCTTAGCATCATATACCATAATAAAGCAGATAATGATACTTCAGTATCTAAAAGAATTATCCTTTTCAACCTTTTAATTACAATCAAATGGAAAAAGACTAAAGAACCTTACTGGGAACGGTTGTATTTGAGTATCTGGATAGGAACACATCAGCATTAGATTGTATCTGCCTCAGTAGTAGTGGTAATCATGGAAAGTTAAAATCTTTCAGTAGTGGCTAAACTCCAGAAAATGTTTAAGGGTAGACTGAAATAAAAGAATTAAAAAGGTTTTTGTTTTTTTAGGGGAAAAAAAAAAAGCTTTGTAATAGTACCTTATGTCAATTTCTTTACAACTTTTTTAATGAAGATTCACAATCTTTTGTGTCTTAAAAAAAAACACAAAAATTTTTATGCACAAATTCTAAAGACTAAAATTGTGAACTGGATAGGTATAGGCACAGGATCGCTCTCTGAATTCTGCAGGGAGTCCCTCTTCTGTCTTCCTAGCTGCTTGTCAGGTTTTCCTTATTCTATAGCAGCATAGCAACAATCTGAATTGTCCCAACGTCTCCTTCCTGTGACTCTGTTTGTACATGGCATGACCATTTTATAAATATGCCAGGCAAAGTATTTGAGGAGACCACCCCACCCTGTCGAACTTAATTATTTTAACTATGTCTGCAAAAACCCTATTTCCAAGTATGGAAATACCAGGGTTGCAGCTTCAACTTGTGTTTAATAGGGGACGGAATTGAACTCAAAGCAGTATTAGGAGTTCATAAAGCCCTAACAATAGATGGCAATGAAGTTTGGTATTATAAACCTCTCCATTCTTCGAAGTAGCTTACAGGTAGGATGTAGTGCTAAGCATGAATTTTACTAGTTTTATTTGAAATGTGTGTTTCAGGGTAGAGATGTTATTGTTGTGAATCAGAACAATAATTTTAAAAATTAGAGAAATGTTATACTTTAAAAACATGGTTGGCGAGAGTGTATCTTATGAGTATGGGTTACATGTGTGTAATTGTCATGCATTTCAAATTGTACAAATATTTTTATTATATATACATATATATACATTGTGTTTTTGTTAAAAATAAAGACTTACAAGCTACAGAAAATAAGAAATCAGATAAGTATGATTAGGAATGGAATTTTTCTGTCTACTTAATTTTTTTTGTGCTCATATCATACTGTCTGGACAACCAAATGTTTGAAAACTACTTTTAGGTCCACACAATATGGAAAAGGCATAGCAATGAGTAAGGAGACCAGAGAAATAGACTGATGAGGCTGGCGATTTGTCCTGATATGTAACTGTATTGCAGCTGGAATACCATGGACAGATTATGTCATTAAAGGTGGTCATTTTGTTCATCAGAAAGTTTAATATATGGTGTTAAGAATTAAGTATCTGCTATGTAATATCTTATTAAAAACTAAATGGACTCAAATTTTAAGAGGTTGAATGAAGTTGAGTAGGAATGTTGTATAATTTTTATCTTTATCCCAGTGGTTCAAAGAGAACTTCTAAAGAAGATGGAAAAACCTATTGTTAAAAGAAGGATAAATATAATTTTTCATGGTGTGTTTTTATGATAGGAGGTATTTTTTTAATATTTATTTTTTAATATTAGTTACAGTTTGTTAACTTTGTATCCCTGCTGTATCCCACTCCCTCTTTCCCTCCCAATCCCACCCTCCCACCCTCATCTCCTCCCTGCCCTTTTCCAAGTCCACTGGTAAGGGAGAACCTCCTCCCCTTCCATCTGATACTGGTTTATCAGGTGTCTTCAGAACTGGCTGCAAGGTCCTCCTCTCTGGCCTAGCAAGGCTGCTTCTCCCGGGAGGGGGGGGGGTATCAAAGAGTCCGCCATCGAGTTCATGTCAGAAACAGTCCCTATTCCCCTTATTAGGGTACCCACTTGGATACTGAGCTACCAAGGGCTACATCTGAGCAGGGTCTCTAGGTTGCAATCGTACATGGTCCTTGTTTGGAGAAACAGTCTCATAAAAGATCCCTGTGCCCAGATATATTTGGTCCTTGTGGAACTCCTGTGCTCTCCAGGTCGTATTAACTACCCCCCCCCTTTTTTTTTTTGGTTCCCTGCATTCTGCCAGAGGTTTGGTTATGAGTCTTAATATCTGTTTTGATACACTGCTAGGTAGGGTCTTCCAGAGGCCCACTGTGGTAGGCTCCTGTCCTCTTACTTGTTTGCTCCTACATCCAATGTCCATCCCATTTGTCTTTCTAAGTGAGGATTGATCATCGTACCCTGGGTCCTCTTTCTTGTTTATCTTCTTTAGGTGGATAGATTCAGTATATTTATCTTATCTTATAGGACTATATAAGTGAGTATATACCATGTGTGTCTTTCTGCTTTTGGGATACCTCACTCAGGATGATCATTTCTAGGTCCCACAATTTGCCTGCAAATTTCATGATTTCCTCGTTTTTAATTGCTGAGTAGTATTCCATTGTGTAAAAATACCACAATTTGTGCATCCATTCCTCAACTGAGGGACATCTGGGTGTGTTTCCAGGTTCTGGCTATTACGAATAAAGCTGCTACAAACATGGTTGAGCAAATGTCCTTGTATATTTGAGCCTCTTTTGGATATATGCCTAGGAATGGTATAGCTGGGTCTTGAGGAAGCACTATTCCTAATTGTCTGAGAAAGCGCCAGATTGATTTCCAAAGTGGTTGTATAAGTTTACATTCCCACCAGCAATGGAGGAGGGTTCCCCTTTCTCCACAACCTCTCCAGCATGTGTTGTCACTTGAGTTTTTGATCTTAGCCATTCTAATGGGTGTCAGGTGAAAGCTCAGGATCGTTTTGATTTGCATCTCTCTGATGGCTAAGGACGCTGAGCATTTCTTTAAGTGTTTCTCTGCCATTCTGTATTCCTCTACTGAGAATTCTCTGTTTAGCTCTGTACCCCATTTTTTAATTGGATTGCTTGATTTGCTGCTTTTTAACTTCTTTAGTTCTTTATATATTCTGGATATCAGCCCCTCTGTCAGATGTAGGGTTGGTGAAGAACCTTTCCCAGTCTGTAGGCTGTCGTTTTGTTTTGATGACTATATCCTTTGCTTTACAAAAGCTTTTCAGCTTCATAAAGTCCCACTTATCAATTGTTGCTCTTAGAGCCTGTGCTGTTGGTATCCTGTTCAGGAAGTAGTCTCCTGTTGCCAATGAGTTCCAATGTCTTACCCACTTTTTCTTCTAATCGATTTAGTGTATCTGGTTTTATGTTGATATCTTTGATCCACTTGGACTTTAGTTTTGTGCAGGGTGATAAATATGGATCTATTTTCATTCTTCTGCATGTAGACATCCAGTTGGACCAGCACCATTTGTTGAATATGCTGTCTTTTTTCCACTGAATGGTTTTAGCTGATAGGAGGTATTTTAAACAGAGTTGTAGAATTGTATTATAAACCAGGAGAAAATATTTGTAACGCACTACACAGCTTTCTGTCTGAACTAAATAGTACCTAAAAAGTTCATGAACAAGTTTTAAAATGAGGGGAAAGCAAGTAAAAGATGGACATAGCAAGCATGAGTAAAGGAAAGCCACTCAGCCTCTGCAAGCATGCACATCTACAGGGCTATCACAGGAAAGCAGTTCAGGTGCACCCTTCTCGCTGAGAAACTAACGCTGAGACCTGAGAACAGACATTCTAATGCAGAGTTCCAAAGCTCTTTTTATGATAGGTACTTACATAATGTAAAATCTCTTTTGAGAGGGACAGAATGACTTCCTTTTTTTTATTGTGTTCCTTTGTGGTATACACAATTGGAAGATAAAAATAAAGAACTCTTGTCCCTTTCCTGTAAATGTGAACTAATTTTGGGGAGGTAAAAGGGAGCTTCTGAGAAATGTGGACTAATTTTTAAACAAAATGATTGCAGCACTTCCTATTGTATATAAGCTTTAGTAGACATTTCCTCTCCTTTTTCAATGTATGTATTAAGTTTCTGTCTCTCCCATCTTCTTCAGGTGCTTGCACTAGTCTTTGTGCGCAAGCTCATGGATCTGTGTTTCACAAAGAGAGAACTCAGTTGGCTTGATGATCTCATGCCAGAAAGTAAGAAGAAAAAAGAAGATGACAAAAAGAAAAAAGAGAAAGAGGTAAAAAGGAATTCTTTGGTTTAATGATGTGTACTATTTAGCAAATACTGTTACCATCCTCAGGGGACCTTATGAAGCACAAGTGCAGCTAATTATTCCATTTTACTGAAATGAGGCAAAGAGGTAGGTAATGTTACCCAAACACTGCTTCTTATCCATTTCTCCCATCTTGCCCCTTTGTAGCTCTCATATGGGAATACTTAAAAAACTACATAGTCTGTGAACTGAAAGAAATGTAAGAATAAGAAGTACTTTTAGCAGTACTAAAATATCACATAATAATTTTAAGTCTGATTTAACCTTAAATCCACTGAGTGTGTTAATGTTTTGCACAATAACAGTATTTCATTGGTCTGACATATCTACCAATGAAGTTTAGATGTGTTTTAAGAGTCTACTAGGGGCTGGGGAGATGGTTTATCAGGTAAAGCATTTGCTATACAAGCATGAGGACCTGAGTTCTCTGTCCTTGGCACCATTTAAACAGCTGGGTGTGTCTGTTTGTATCTGCAATCACTGCCCTCTGGAGAGGAAGGGCCTTCTAGATAGTCTGGTTCAGATTCAGTGAGAGAGCACTTCTGTATCAGAACAATAAACTGTGATGGCCCAGGACACCAGTGACCTCTGTTCTCTATGGTACACACAGAAACACACATTCAAAACAAAACAAAAAACAAAAACAAAACATAATCAAGCATAAGCCCCTCGATTTTGTTTTATGTTTTTTTAAACTACAGTTGTGCTATTACTGAGTAGGAAGTAGAAACTGAACATTGGTTTTCTTGTTGTTGTTTGTTTGTTTGTTTGTTTGTAGTACTTTCCTCAAAACTCCTATTTTAGTTAGGGTTACTATTGCTGTGATTAAACACCATGACCAAAGGCAACTTGAGGAGGAAAGGGTTTATTTCATTCATGTTATTATCAAAAGCAGTGAGGGCAGAAACCTGGAGGCAGGAATTCATGCAGAGGCTGTGGAGGAGTGCTGGTTACCAGTTCCCATTCACAGAGGACTGGGCCTTTCCCATCAGTCACTAATTAAGAAAGTGCCCTTCAAACTTGCCTACAGTTGGATTTTTATAATGGCATTTTCTCAGTTGAAGCTCCCTCCTCTTATAAGTCTAGCTTGTATCAAGGTGACATAATTCTTATTCAGAATTTTGTTTTAAAATCAGTTGAGAATGATATGCAGTTTTGTTTGTTTTGTTTTTAAGGTGGTCCTCCCTATATAGCTGAGGCTGGCCTAGAACTTGTGGCCATTCTGCTTCAGTATTCCCTACTCTGAGTGCTTGGGATACATTTGTGCACCACCATTCCTGGCTACTTATTTTTGTTGTTGTTGTTTGTTTGTTTGTTTGTTTGTCTGTTTTCGAGACAGTATTTCTCTGTGTAGCCTTGGTTGTAGATCAAGAGGCCTCACAGAGATCTGCCTCCCTGTGTTCTGGGATTAAAGATAGGTGCCACTGCGTCCGGCTCTGGATGCTCATTTTAAGTGTCATGGTCTTACATATTTAATATAGATAAAAAAAAGAGTATACTTCTCAACCAGAATTGTAACTAGGATAGTCACTGTAATTATTTGAATGAGGTTCTAATTTTAAAATAGAGTTTTGATTTCCTAAATAGTGAGTGCCTAAAGATGTAAGCTATTGGTGGTTTTTCTTCATGTAGAATATTATTTATTTGCAAAATATATAAAATAAGCAGGTCAGATTACTTGCTTTTTTGTTTGTTGTTTATTATATTATTATTATTCTTTACAGTTTATTCACTTTGTATCCCAGTTGTAGCCCTTTCCCTCCTATCCTCCTGGTCCCACCCTCCTATTTCCTCTGCTATCTCTCTTCCCTATTCTACTAATAGAGGAAGTCCTTCTCCCCTAGGACTGTCTGAACCTAGCCTATCAGGTCACATGATGACTGCCTGGAGCCTCTTCCTCTTTGGCTGGCTAAGTCTCTCCACAGGGAGATGTGATCAAGGACCAGGCAACTGAGTTCATGTCTCTTCTCCCCTTATGAGGGAACCCACATGGAGGCTGAGCTGTCTATGGGCTACATCTGAGCAAAAGGGTCTAGGTCCTCTCCATGCATGGTCCTTGGTTGGTGCGTTAGTCTCTGTAGTGCCCCCTGGGCCTTGTTTTTTGTTGTTGGTGGTGGTGTTTTGTTTTGTTTTGTTTTGTTTTTTGGCTTTGTTGGTCTCTTTGTGGAGCTCCTGTCCCCTCCAGGTCCTTTCATATCCCCCTTCTTCCATAAGACTCCCCACTCTCTGTCTAAAGTTTGTCTGTGAGTCTCTGCATCTACTTTGATCCCCTGCTGGTTGGAGTCATTTAGAGGACATCTGTGTTAGGCTCCCATCCTGTTCCCTCTTGTCTACTGCTTCCGTTGTCTATCCTGTTTTCCCTTCTGAATGAGAAGTAGAAGCAGAAAGACACTCATGGTGTATATTCACTTATAAGTGGATATTAGCTGTATAATATAGGATAAACATACTAAAATCTACAGACCTAAAAAAACTAAACAACAAGGAGGGCCCTAGGGAAGATTGCTTGCTTTTTTTTTTTTTTTTTCTGTTGGTTCAGAAACATATAAATTTAAAGAACAAATGTAAAAATGTAATTTTAAAGCCCTGGGATCTATTTTCTCATGGGGATTTTCTCAAGAATTCTGCTCCCTGTGTCAAGCCTGTAGTCTCCATTTTCAGATTCACCTTCTGGATCAGAATAGCTGATAAACTCCAGATATCACCGCTAGAACAGAAGCAGTAGGAAGAGAATAGAGAAGCAAAAATGAACATCTTGCTTTGGGAAACTTTCTAAAACTTTTATTCAGTAAGTTGCTTGTACAAGGTCTCCCCACTGACTTGCAAAGAATGCTGGGAAATTAGTGTAGCAGTTTTAAATATGGATGCATCGTCACTTGGAAATGGTGGGATTTCTGGTAATAGGGAGATGAGCTTGAGTACTCTCTTCCCTATACTTCTTTGTGTCTTTCTCTATTACTAATGGGTCATAATTTTAGTTGATGTTTTTTATTCAGCGAGTTCTTCGTCTAGGATGATGAACTTGAAGGAACATTTTCAGTTTCAGAGATGCCTTTTTATTACCACTGGAGGGACTGCCACTGGCATAAGTGATATTTGGACTTGAAAAAGTCTTGTGTTCATAGATTTTCTCCTAAGAAAGTATGTTTTGTCATTGTTCCGAGGTTGAGAAATTGTGCCTTACATAGACGAGCGCTCTGCACTGTGATGAGACATTAGATTTCAGTTTTATCTCCTTTGCTGTATATGTATGGTAACTAGTATTCAGACGTAGGTCAGACTGTTTTTAGACAGCATTGGTTATTCATTTTCAGAAATAGAGGTTATACCTTCAGAAATAAATTTTTTGCAAGTACTTTTAATTTCATGCTGTAAGTATGTGCTCATATTGCTAAAAGAAGTTTTCAGTTAGGACAGATTCATTGTTTAAATCATGCTGTCAGTGTGGCTTTCCACGTCTTTAAGGTATTTTTGGTAACAAACCCTCCTGGGGCTGTTTTAGAGGAAGTAATTTCTTCATGTCTGTGCTCTCAAGGAAGCTGAGCGGATGCTTCAGGATGATGCGGACACCGTGCACCTTCCATTCGAAAGAGGGAGTCTCCTACAAATTCCAGTTAAAACCCTAAAATATAGGTAAGATACAACTTTAGTTTTTACACACTGTGTCTTTTTTTTTTTTTTTTAAATGTGTCAAGTGTACAGATAAAGCATGTAATATTTCTTTGAAATAATGGTGAGTAAATATTTCTGCAGGGTAAACACAGTGGCAGGTTAGAAGGCTCACCATTTTCAACGTGAAATCTTTTCCCAGGCTTTGCCTTCACTTTATCCTCCCACTCTGCAGTCTTCATGGTGTGTGTTGATTATTTAGGCAGGATTTTGCTATGTAGCCCTGATTGGCTTGGAACTCATTGTATGGAGCAGTTGGGCCTCCAATTCAAAACAAGAGATCTGTTTGTCTCTACTTTCAGAGCGCTGGGATCAAGGGTGTGCGTTGCCATGCCCAGCTGCAGTATTAACTAAAAAATTATGATATAGTGTATGAACAGAGGTGGAATTTTTGTAAAGAACTGGTATTAGTCACTTATAACATAACTGCTATTACACCGCTGTTTTACTGTGGTCTAATTTCGTCTTTTTGTAATATCTGGCATTGAACCTAGGACTGTGTGCATGCTTGGCAGACCACCGCCCACCAGCTTTTTTACTTTGGGTTACTATTGCTATGAGCAAACACCATGACCAAAAGCAACTTGGGGAGGGAAGGATTTATTTGCTTATTTTTTCTTATCACTGTTCAAGGTAGTCAGAGCAGGAACTCAAGCAGGGCAGGAAGCTGAAGGCAGGAGCTGATGCAGAAGCCATGGAAGATTTGGGCTTATTGGCTTGTTTTCTTCGCTTATTTATCATGCTTTCTTAGAGGCCCCAAGACCACCAGTCCAGACATGGCACTAGCCCAGGCATGGCACCATCTGCAACAGGCTGAGTCCTTCTACATCAATCACTAATTTTAAAAAATGCCTCATAGGCTTGCATACAGCCTGATCTTATGGAGGTGTTGTTTCAGTTGAGGTTCCCTCCTCTTAAATGAGCATAGCTCTGTCAGGTTGGCATAATTAGCCAGCACACCTACTCACTTTCTATTATTTATTCTAAGACTGATCTTACTGAGGTGCCCACTGTTCTTAGACTGTTGTCTGCTGTGTCAGCCTCTATCTCCTGCTAGCTGTGGCTAAATGCTTTCCCCCTCATTCATGTGGCCCAGTAGGATTGTAGCTTGTCTTCATGAATTGTTTTTCTTTATGTAAAAAGGGGGGAGACTAATAGATGTATTGCAATTTTATCTATGGAATATTCATGTTTCTTGTGACCAGTAACATTGATCACATGTTACTTATGGGCATAATCATCATTGGATTCAGGCTCTCAGAAGCCATTTTGTAATATTTCATAGAAATGTCAAAAGGTTACATTTAATTTTTTATGGTAATGGACATTATTACTATCCCTTGGTTTTGATACATCTGATGAAATAACATTTTGACACTAAAACTTGAGAATTTCTAGTGAAAAGTTAGTAGAGGCTTTTTTTCTGTGCCAATTTGCAACTTTCAGAGCTTCATTTTCAGTTGTTTTGTTTTTTTCCAGCATAAAAAACAAAAAACCAAAAGAATGATTTGTAAAAGAAAAGGTGTTTATGAATTTTTACTTGATGAGAGTATCAGTTGTAACAATTTTGACTAAATCTCTATTTTAGACATCTAATCACGGTAACTGGATTTTATGTTATCTGAATGATCAGAAGGTATGGCTGGAATACTGGTAAATCCAAATTGAATTCTGCAGTGAAGAATTAAAAATGAATTTTGCTAATATAATCAGCCCTTCTTAGTTTTGATTGTTAAGGAACATAGAGTTCTCTGTGAAGACTTTGTTTGCAGAATTCTAAGTTTATGATACTTTGTTAGATATTAGTTTAAGTGCATGCCAAATGTTTTCTCAATTTTTAAATTGATGAAAACAAAATATGTTATGATGCTAATAAAAATGACAATATTAATGCTTTTGCAAGTACTGGATACTAACCACAAAGTGTATTTGTTCTTCAGTATTGACCCATCAGTTGTTAACATATCAGATGAAATGGCCAAAACTGCCCAGTGGAAGGCACTTTCCATGAATACTGAGAATGCCAAAGTAACCAGACCTAACACGAGGTAGTTATAACTATTTATGCTTTTGTAACTGTTGCTATTTTCACTTATATTAATTTATCTAATGTACGTAAATGTATTTCCTTACTGGATAAAATAACTTCTCCCTTACCTTCTATCTCTTCTTCTACCCTAATTTTGTTCTGATGCGAGTTGTGATGATTATGTTTTCTAACTTTTGAATTTACAATAGCATATTTCTAAAGAAAATTTTTGCTATTTTATAATAAAAATAAATTCTGCATAGCAGCGTATATATATTTTGTGAATATAATTATATTCATAAATTGAATATACATTCATAGTTACAGGTTCAATTGAATATAATTGTATTAAAATGAAAGAATATATATATATATACATATATAGGTATATATATACATATATATATGTATATATATATATACAGAAAGAATAATAATTACTAAAAATTAAATTAATACTACTAGGAATAATGGCTTATACTTCCAGCCCTCAGGAGGCAAAGACAGGAAGAGGGGCCCTAGTTTGAGGCTTGTGTTGTCAGTGTAGCGAGGTTTACATAGCATGACCCTGGCATGATAGATTAGGTAGCTAGAGCAAAGAAAAACAGTTGTTTTCCTGGTGTGGTTGTTTGCTTGTTTGCACATTTGTTTTATTTAGCATATCTTTTTGGGTAAGTTACACTTTTCTTCTCAAGGTAATAATTAGAAGAAATTTAGTTCGTATACACACACAGAAACATACATACATACACACATACACACACATATAAGGGATTCCATTTTTATTACCATGTATCTATATGTATATGTATGTATATGTATATGTGTATGTATTTATAGATATGTGAATAAATACTACTCAGTTTTATAGTGGACCATGTATTGAAACTTCTTTAAGCCTTTCCGTACATTTTTTTGTTATACAACACCATTTTGGTTTTTCTTCTTTTACTTCAAGTCCTGAAGTCTCAGGTACTCATTTTGATAAAATTAGAACTTTAATTCTTATGTCAGAAGAAACAAGGTACCCTACGGGGAGTTAGTCATATTTAACAAATATTTCCTGCAGACATGGCTCGTGGGGGGAACTTGCTGAGTGTTGGTTATTCTCTCCAGTCACTAGGTCATGAAACTCCAGGAGACCTTCTAACCTATTCTGTTTAGCGGCTGTCTCTCTGAGCTCTACCTTGTGATAGGTGTTTACATAGTCATTCCTTTTTTATTTTTTCATAAAATCTGTATTCTACTTACTCTTCATCTCTTTCTTTCTCTCTTCTCTTTCCTTTCTCTCTCTCTTTCTTTTTATCTCTTTCTCTCTCTCTTTCTCTTTCTTTTTCTCTTCTTTTGAATATTTACAACAGGGTTTTACTATGTTCTCCTAGAACTCACTGTGTACCCTTGGCTGCCTGCCTCTGTCTTCCAATGTTGGGATTAAAGGTGTGCACCACCATGCCCAACTCTTCATCATGTATTTTATATCTTCATTCCTTGAGTTCCAGTTTTTTAAGCCCAACTGTCCCTTCTTTTCACTTCTGTTTTCAGTCTATAGGATTTCAAAGTTCTTTAAACTTCACCTTTAGTTCCTATTCATACTGTGCCAGCACCCTTGACTCAGACCGTTAATATTGCTATGGTGAAAATAAAGGCTATGTAGTAATATTAGTACATGTCTTTTACACTTAGCTTGTCATGTGGGTTGGCCCTCTATTCAAAATACATAAGAGCAAATGCAACATCCCACCTTTTCTTTTGCTAAAAAAGTGGCATGTTGGGAACAAGAAAGGGTTCAAACAGAGTGAGGGGGTGAATACGATCAAAATATATAATATTCATGTATGAGATTGTGGAAGAAACAAAAGCAGCAAGTTGTAAATTGGTGTTAGCCAGCATCTCATAGGTATATTGTAGAGGCCTCTTGTTGACCACTTGAGAATTTAGGGTTGATTCTTTTAAAAATAATTTTTCCTCATTGTTTTTTTTTTAAACAGCCCTGAAAAGCCTGTGAGTGTGACAATAAATTTCGAAGATGAACCATCAAAAAAATACATGGATGCTGAGACTTCATTGTAAAGTCAAACCAAAAGGAATATATAGAAATATATGCCTATCTGTACACACACACACACACACACACACACACACACACGCACACACACACGCACACACACACGCACACACGTGTAATAATAGTACTACGGGCCTTTTTGAAGTAGCATTGGGCATTTATTGTGAGCACCGTGGAGACCGTATTAGTGAAGTGGTCTCGTATAAGCGAGGTACATGGCTTTTACTCTTCAGATACTTATTTTTGGGAGTAAAGCCTTTTTGTTATACAGTAGAAAGATGTGGAAAACTGCATTCAATCTGTTTTTCTTAAATATCTGTTAGTGGCAATCAATCATATCAACCTTAATTGATACATACTTAGTCTATATACTTAAAATTTTTACCTGAATTTTGAAAGACTTTTGTTTCCCTTTGGTAGTGTTTGATAGGTAGAATAAGGAGTCTGCTCATGCTGTGGGAAATGACGTGTCCTGGCTTCTCTGTGGGCTCTCTTCTTGTACCTGTCCATCGTACTTCACAGGTGATGAACATAGAGGTGATTATCAATTAGTGAAGACTTTCTAGGTAGGAACTTTATGGCTTAGAGGTTATTCTTAAATCATAAAACTTCCATATCTGGGCTTCCATTTTGGTGGACAAGAAAAAAAAAATATATGTGACTTTTAATTTAATAACCATACAAGTCATAATGTTTTGAGTTTTAGAAGCTATAAAGTGCCCATGTGCTATAGTTAAATTTTTTTTATCTTTGTAGCAAAGCTTTTCCATTACTCATACCTTCCTAGGAGCCCAGAGTCCCACTGTTGTTTGTCTTTGGTCTTTTTTACTTAAAGTGGTCTAGTGTCAGGTTCACGTATCTCTCTGTTATAAGGAGTAATAAAGAGTCAGCACCCTTTCAAGTGGGCTTGTGAGCCATGTTTCTTTACAAGAGTTACCTTTCATTGTCTGTGCTTACTTTCTCTTTTGTATACAATGTATTTAATAGGTTATTATCCCCAATTTCCTTTTAAAATCTTTTATTTATTCTAATTGATGTGATACTTAAATATTATATGGATATTTGAAACAGTAACAGAGTAAATTGTTCCTGTTGTAGATTTTTGGTGCTCACTTGCATTTCTGTTCATTACCTGAAAGCAGGTGACAAACTTTACATCTTTAATATAAAGCACTGCCATATTTACATTTTAAAAGGAAGTTGGGTATTTCTTGTGCAGTTCAGATCAATGACATTGTTCCTGTTCTGTGTTAACATTTGGGTTTCCAGTATTTTTGAGCTGTCTTGTAAACATATAGCAAATTTATAGACACACAGCTCTCTACAGAATAAGTAAATACTATTTCAGCTTGTGGGGCAGAATGATTGGAGCCATGAATCTCTGATAAGGCAGGAGGATAGATAACACAGGGAAACAGTGAGAAGCCCCAGTTACCTTCAGAAACACTGAAGGTGATGGAGTAGGAAGATTAGGGTGAATGTTTTACGGAAATTCTAATATTCTCTAGTCCTTTCAAACTAAAGTACAAAAGTTTTAAGAAATTGATCTTTAGATCAAATGAATAGAATTACCCAAAGCAGATATTTCTGGCACGTTTGATTGAAGTAGTTTTCGGTCGTTCTAAACTGTGTACCAGTTAGTGTAATCCCCTCATCTGAGGTCACATAGTAGGCTGCTCGTTCAAATAGTAGCTGGCACCATTTGGTACTATCTGAGGAATTCTGTTGGACTTCCTTAACGTGATGGGGAGTGTTGCCATGGTGCTTATGGTCATTGGTGACCTCCACTGAAGTGGTCCTTCTTCAGTCAGCATCATAGTGATTTCCATTTGCTGCTAATTATAACCCCTGCCCCCTGTGATGTATCCAAACAAGAGAATTTCCTCACACCATTTCCTTGTATCTGGACATCAAAGGGTTAATTTATTTTACAGGAAGTGATTTTAAAATTTAAACTGAAAACTACCTGGTATCATAATTTTCCTGTGACTTATTTAATTATCTTATTATCCAGTGCCAGAAAAACAAAAAAACAAAAAACAAAAAACAGGACATACAGAATACTTTGTATCTAAGATGTTTTAACATGGTCTTCGTTACTAATGGCATCTGCTTTCTTTTGACTACTTGACTTACAAAGTGATCTGATAAGACTACTCCACTGAAGAGCAGAGGTAATTAACTGCTGCTTTCAGGTGGTTACATTTCTTGTGCTATTTTTGAAAATAACAATCATGAATAACATTCATTGCAAGACAGCAAGAGAGATAATTTAGTATATATATTGATTTTTAAATGCTGCCTTAAATAGGTGTAAATGAGCAGTAGTAATTGCTATGTACTGATTTACCTCAAGGTGCAAAATAATTAAACTTGTACATACCCATTTCCAGAGTAATTCAGAGACACAGCCCTGCACTTTCTTAGATGCCTTGATTTTCAGATGGAGCTTAGTGCTACTGAACACCACGGCCGTGGGGCCACCTCAGGATGTTCTTCCCTCCACCATATTTTATTTATTTATAGATGTGTGTTTACAAAGAATATAATAAAGCCTGGTGTTAACTATCTGAAAGTTACTTCCTTCTTATTGCTATTTCAATCTAAAGTAGAAGCTTTTGAGAAAACAGTAAACTAGCTTCCTGATGCTAAAGGGGGTGATTATAATATATATTTTTAATAATATTAGATATGCAAAAGTGAAGTACAAGGTCTTTAAAACATTGTGTGAATGTTTGTGTACATGTATGAAATCACTCTTAACTCTCTTAACTTTTTTAAAACTTGTGGCATACCGATGTTCAGATTTGCCAAGCTTTCTATAAGACATGTAAGATGAAATGTTTTTGTTTTTGTGTGCTAATGCATGTATTTATAAAGATTTGTTTACTGCTGGGAATCACTAACTCTTGTTTCTCCATCCACAAAGTGTTCATTTCTTCCACATACTGGAAGTTTTGGCTTGAGTGTATGAGTTTTCTGGGTTAGAATTGTACAGAAAGAAGAATGGTCCCTCACAGTATGGCATCACAACAGAGCTGCCTGGTTAGGTTCCATCAGTGTGTACAGCTCAGCAGCCCTGCATCTGCGTCCTGTGCTTCTATTAAGTAACTTACATGTCTGAAATGTATTTATGTAGGTTCCATCACTATCATTTGTAGTACAAATACATGAACTGTTCATTTATTCCAACAATTTATTTATTTTTAGAAAGTAAATTTAAAGTCGAGCTGCGTTCAAGTTTTAAAATAGTGTTCCAATCACAAGATGTGATCATTTTAATTGTAAAGTTTCTTTTAACTTTCTGGAAAATCAACTGTCAAATGGAATCATGTGATGATTATTTTAAATTTTTTAACATGTATGTACTTAGAGTTTAAGCCCCAGTTCTGTGGTTTTTAATCATATCTTTTTGCACATTGATTGTTTCTGTGCTATAGCTTTTCCTGTGTTCCTTTGTTTGTTTAAGATTTTTGGCTTTGTAGTAGTAAGGTGTCTTCCAGTGTTTACTTTATTAGGCTTAAATTAAAGTTGAAATTTATTGTCCATTTATACAATATTTGATACCTTGGTGTAATTTCCCAGTTACAATTTTTATGACATTTATAATTGCAATGGTATTTTCTTTTGTAATAAAATCCAAAGTAAATTAAACAAATTGTAGACCTGATATTTTTCATCTATATGAAGTACAAGTCTCTACCTGAGTCTATAATGTGAACCATCCTGCCTTTCACATTTATTTCCTAATTGTTAGAGCAAACTATTTTTTTGTAGATGTTATTGAGAGTTGAAAGAGCAATAAAAGTTTACAAAGCAAGTTGTTGGCTGTTTTTATTTTGCTATTAGGAAGATTACAAGTCTTTCTGTACTTGAGAGGGGCTGGGACGGAAGGAAAGTTGAGTGACTTCTGCTTCCTGCTTCCCGGGCCTTCCTGTAGAAAGCAGAAACAAGAGAAGTATAAATAAAAAGATTTTTATAATGGCTAGGAAATGTTGAAGGTAAAGTTCCTTTTAAATGCTGGTCCAATTTTCCCTTCTGTTTTGAAACCTAGAAACTTGTATCATGTGGTATGTTATCACTTAAAACTGACCTCTCTGCTCAAGGCCCATTTCTCTTTTGGCTGATTTTGACTTGGATTGTTTTCTTATTCAGTGTAAGACTTTGCTCCTGTTTTCCACATAGAGAGCCTTCTGTGTCTCATTGTAAATTGATTAAGCCGTGGGAGTAGGATGAAGAAAAATATTTATAGCTTTGCAAAGTTGTGTTAGTTAGGAGAGATAGTTTACCCTTAACACACTTACCACATACAGGACTATTGGACTGCTGTTTACCAGGAGGGGATTCCTCATTCATTACTTACTGTTTGTCTGATCTGAGTTTGAGTTCTCCTCATGGTGAGTTCTCATGGTGGGCCTGCTATACTTGTGCTTTCAATGGAGATGTTTCTGGTGTTTGCTAAACCTGTTCTGCTTTTTTTTTTTTTTTTTTTTTTTTTCTTTTCAAAGCCCACTTAAAGCCCTGCATTGACTTTAGAGTCAGTCTTGCTCTGCCCACCCCCAAGTGTGTGTGTGTGTGTGTGTGTTACAGGCTGGGAACAGAACTCTGATCCTCTCTTCAAGAGCAGCATGTATTCTTAATGACTTGAGCCACTTTTCCAGTGTCTTTGCTTATTTTATGCTGTAATTAGGTAGACATTCATTCAAGATGGTAAAGGAAACAAACAAAAATGGGTAAAAGTATCCTAAGATTGAACTATAGGACAAGATACACAGCATGACTCAGGCCTGGCTTTGTGAAGTCATGGAGCCTCCCCACACAGCCTGGGTCCTTACGTTGGAGCTGATGGCCTGTCTTTGTCCTTGGCTTCTGTGGGGCCGTGTATCTTAATCACAGTGCAGGCTGGGCCGTTATGCTTAGAGAGAAGCACAGGCTTCTGGAGCCAGGGTGGCATGCTGTCTTTTATGGAGCAAAGGTAATCGTTGGGAAAGGTCAAAGTGTCAATGTCACGTTCATTTTATGAAGAAGTTGAAAAACAGCATATTTGCTGTCCCACTGAAGACAAAGTTGATCTTCAGCTTGTCATGTTGACTGCCTGCTTGGGAATTAGGGGTTTACATAAATGCACTGTAGTCTACTTCAGCCTTCACCCCCATGACCTCTTTGGCTATTAGTTGGGAGCATTGGCCCTGAAGGTTTCATGGCCTGAAGTTTAGTGCTGTGTTTGCCTTTCCTCTCCCATGCTTTTACTTCCAGTATAGAACTATAGTTGTAGTTTTTTTATTTGATCTTTGTTTTTAGTTTTATGAGGCAGTATCTCATGTAGCCCAGGCTTGCTTTAAACTCTTGATCCTCTTGCTTCCACTTACTGTGTGCTGTGAGTTACCCAAACCCCAGTATTACATATACTTGAGTGGGTGTAGGGTCCTGTCCCCAGGAATGCCGAGGTCACAGCCATGTGCCCCCCAACTCTACTGCTATTTTTTTATGAAAGTTATTTTTTAAAATATTTTTCTTCACAATTTATTCATTATATATCCCGACTGAAGCCCCCTCCCTCAACCCCCCTCAGTCCCACCCTCGTTCTCTCTTCCCCTCATCTCCTTCCCCTAGTCCACTGAAAGGGGGAGTTCTCCACTATTGCCATCTGCCCATAGCTTGTTAAGTCTCATCAAGATTGCCTGGATCCTCTTCCTCCGTGGCCTGGCAGGGCTGCATCATCAGGGGTGAGTGATCAGAGAGCAGTCAACTGAGTTCATGATAGAGGCAACTACTGCTCCCCTCAATCAGGGATTCATATGGAGATTGAGCTTCCAATTGATTACATCTGAGCAGGGGTCTAGGTCCTCTCCATGTATGGTCCTTGGTGCATCAGTGTCTGCAGGATCCCCTGGGCTCAGATCCTTTAGCTTTGAGAGTCTTCTTCTGAAGCTCCTGTCCCCTCCATGCCCCTCTAATCCCACCCCTCTTCCTCCATAAGACTGCTTGTGCTCTGCCCAAAGTTTGGCCCTGAGTCTCAGCATCTGCTTTGATCCCCTGTTGGATGGATCCTTTCAGAGGACCCTTGATAGTAGGCTCCCATCCTGTTTCCTTTCTTCTATTGTTTCTGTGTCTCTCTTGTTTGCCATTCTGAATGAGATTTAAGCATCCTCCCTAGGGCCCTCCTTGGTGTTTAGTTTCTTTAGGTCTGCAGATCACAGCCCTGTGTGCTTCTGCCTTCTCTGCATCCCTTACGAGTTGTGAGGCTGCTGGGCTCACTCTCACAGCCCTAGAATGAGAAGTAATGACAATGTGAAGAGCAAGTGAGATGGCAGCCTTAGGAATTGTGCTCACAAAAAAATTGACTCCTGAGTTAGTTTGGTTACAACTTTTAAAAGCTCTGTTGTGCCCTTTTAAAGACAATTTTAATGCAATTCGAATTTTCGTTTTGAAAAATTCTTTGCAGACTTTCTAGGAAAAGTGACTTTGTAAAGCTACCAAATGATCTGATGATAGGAGTCAGATAGAGAGCTCTTGTGTCCGAGGAATGTGTCTTCTCAGCATTTCCTGATACATGTGCTGTATGTAGCAGCTTGAAGTGATTCTGTGCCATAGAAAAGATGCTAAACAGGCTGTCTTGAAGTTCATAGCCTGCCTGGCCCAAAAATCAAGTTTCACACCCTTCACAACCCCAAAATAAGAACTAAGCATCTGTCTTGCTTGCTTTTACCCTATAATCTTTGAGAACTGATTTGCAGTGTGTGAAAATTCTTGAAGCACCTGAGATAAACCTCTTGTGTATTTTGGATGCCAGAGCTGTGCTGACCAGGATACAGCAATGCCTGGGTTAGGTTCAGGCACTCTGAGTTTCACAGCGCGGTCTCTGGTTGCTAAGGAAGCAGGGCAGGCGTTACCCGTCGCCATGGCGCTACTGTACCTTGCAGCGTTGTCATTGCTGATTGGCTGAGCGCCTGAGGCTGCGGAGGAAGAAGTGTGAACATTGGTTCAGCCTCTCTAGGCCAGGAAAGAAATGGACTAAAAACCCAACAGGTGTCACGGCTGGAGCTGATTTGAGCTCGCCGGAATTCTGCAGCAAGAGGAGGAAGATGACTTGAGGTTGGCCTGAAAGAGGGCCGCCCTCCTGCGCGGTGAGTGGTGTGGGAAGTTGGGTGACACCGAGCCCCAGGGCCTCTCAGGGGCGGCCTCCTTTCTCCTGAGGCCAGTCACAGGGACCTTCCCTGAGGGGTGATGACAGCCTTGTAGTCAGTTAACCAGAGCCTGCCTCTTCAAAATACATGAGCTTGTGCTGAAGAGCGTGTGATGGGAGATGCAGAGTTGGGTTCGCTCCTGGAATGAATGAACAGCTGCTACTGCCTTCCAGCCAGCTCTCATGCCTCTGGAGGCTAATGGTCTCCTCTGTGAGCAGCACTGCCTTCCTTTTACAGGGTGGGCTCTGCTCAGCTCCACCTGAGTGTCTGTCTTTAGGTAACTTCTGTGGCAGATGTGAAGAGAGTCTTCACCATCACCTAGAGTGCTCCCCTAAGTCAGAGCCCAGCAGCCAGTGCTCTGCTGCAGTTAAGAGTGCCTCTCAATGCAACCCTACCCACCAGGCCCTATTACCGTTGGACTCCTATGGGTACTACTCTGTCTACATCCCCATCACCACATCCTAGACACCCCTTATTCTCTATAAAAACATTTTCACAAAAGCTTTCTCACAGATGCCACCAGTGCCTTGGTTAAACCGAGTATCTATCCAGTGTTACTGATTGTAGTCTGTCCCTACCCATCCAATCACTGTGCTCACCATTGGTAGACTGACTTATCTTTTATTTTTATTTTTTAAGTGCCAAGGATTGTTTCTCTTTCCTCCTAGAAGCTCATCTTTCCCACTTCCCTGTTCCGGGCTTTGGTTAGCCAACAGCAGCTCCATCTTAAGTACACACAGAACGTGGTCCATGCCACAACTCCTGGCGCTCTGAACTATTCTCACACTGCTGAGAATGGACTGCCTCTGTGGGGCTCTATACTCACTTCCCCATTCTTGTCTCTGTGATGCCCGATTATTTTGTTATCTACAGCTGTGAGAGGCTGGCTTGTCCATATTTCTGCATCTAGATCAGATACTTAGCAAATGCACTCAACATATACTTGGTAAGCAATGAATCTCTTAAGTTATCAGCTTTTTACAAACATTTTCATGTCTTGGTTAGTGAATGTTAATTTAGAAATTTTGTCTTAATTGTAAAGGTCTGGCACTTATGCTCTGTTTTGTGCTGTAATAATTATGATAAAAACCATGTTTTTCGTGGTTTAAGGTTGTTAGAACGAGGCAAGACAGTGTGGTTTGCAGGAGCTGAGTCCCGTACAATTCAGCATTTTAACTCTTTGCCCCTATCAAATCACTGGCCCCTAAGGTTTTTACCTGCAAATAATGGTACTTACCTCACAGGATTAATTATTTAAACAGTAAATGTAAACTGTAAATTAAAAAGGAAATTATTTAAACAGTAATACCAGGCTTAGTGGCACATATGTAGTTTTTAATGCATTTGAAAATGGCGAGAGCAGCAATTATGAAATCCACGGTCAGTTTACAAAAGGTGAAATGACATTTTTTATTTAGTAAAGAGCAGTTTCTAGGATCCTACTTTGTCACTAGACTGGTGCATGTCTTCAGCTCTGATTCAGGAAGAGACTCATTAATTCATTGACTATTTACTGATCATTTGAGGGGCTCAGGGTCGGGGCCAACTGTGCAACCAGTAAAAGATGTAGGAGCTGGAAGGGGAATCTGGAGTGTGAGTCTGTTGGAGCCAACCACACGCATTGAGGCTGAGGTTAGAGGAAGAGGAAATGTAGCCTGTGATAGGTAGAGAGCACCCCAAAGTCCCTTCCAACAGTAGTTCCTGTGCTTCTGAGTTGTAGGAAATGAAAAAAGTCAGTGCATTCTGTTGGTCTGGTAACACACACCTATAGTACCAGCAATCAGGAAGATGAGGCAGGAGGGTCGGAAGTTTGAGCCAAGATTTGCACCTGTTACTTTTCTGACAGGAAGCTCAGGCAGGGCTCAAGGAATAGAGTCCATCCTGGCAGGGAAGGCACAGCAGCAGGTGCCTTGCCAGGCGGGGTTGGAGTGGGATGGGGGTGGTTTAACACATTGCTTACATATGGCTCGAGGTCACCTGACTATTCCTTTCCTCTTTTCATTCTACCATGGCTCCCAGCCCAAAGGATGGTACTGCTTCCATTCAGGGTGGGTCTGCCCTCAATCAAACCTGTCTATCCTCTCAGGAACACCTTCTCAGACATAGTATGCTTTATAGAAGTCCTAGGGATTTCTTTCCCTTTTAAATTTTATTTATTTATGTTTGTTTGTTTGTTTGTTTATTTTTGACACAGGTCCCATGTAGCTAAAGCTTGCTTTGTACTCCCAGTTTCTCCTGCCAAGGAGAAATTCCGAATGTTGGGAGGGTGTTTTGCAATACAATTGAAGTGACAAATTAGCTTGTCTCAGAACAAATGAGCTGGGCAGGGCAGATCTGAGAGGAGAGCCAGATGTAAGGACAAGGCAAGAAGATCCCAGAGAGTTTGAGGCAAGTCTAGGCAACCTGGGGAGACTGACACCAAAAGAAGGGAAAAGAAGAGGAGAGGGAAAAAGTAAACCAAAACCCCACAGGCCCTGACTTTGGCTGTTCACAGGGATCAGGAGCAGAGTCCGCAATGGCAGATACTTCAGCCAAGCTCTGGAAGCCAAATCCCAGCTCTGTCTTGCTTTGGCAATTTCTTAATCTTTTGGTAACTAAGTTTCCTTACCTGTAAAATGGGGCGGTTATAACAAAGTTCTTAGACTATTGTTTTCCTAGAAATAGCATGGAGTTTTTACCTATTTGTGTTAAGTTTTTTTTTATTATTATTACAATTTATTTCCTTTGTATCCCAGCTGTAGCCCCATCCCTCATCCCTTCCCAATCCAGCCCTCCCTCCCTCTTTCCTCCCATGCCCCTCCCCCAGTCCACTGATATGGGAGGTTCTCTTCCCTTCCATCTGACCCTAGCCTATCAGGTCTCATCAGGACTGACTGCATTGTCTTCCTCTGTGGCCTGGTAAGGCCGTGCCCCCTCAGGAGGAGGTGATCAAAGAGCCAGCCACTGAGTTCATGTCAGAGACAGCCCCTGTTCCCCTCACTAGGATACTCACTTGGACACTAAGCTGCCATGGGCTACATCTGTGCTACATCCGTGCAGGGATTCTAGGTTATCTCCATGAATGATCCTTGGTTGGAGTATCAAGCTCAGAAAAGACTGCTGTGTCCAGACATTTAGGTTCTGTTACTCTCCTTGTGGAACTCCTGTACCCTCCAGGTCTTTCTATCTCCTTCTTTCATGAGATTCCCTGCACTCTGCCCAAAGTTTAGCTATAAGTCTCAGCATCTGTTTTGATACACCGCTAGGTAGAGTCTTTCAGAGGCCCTCTGTGGTAGGCTCCTGTCCTGTTCCCTGTTTTCTCCCTCTTCTGATGTCCAACTCCTTTGCCTTTCTGAATGAGGATTGATCATCTTACCCAGGGTCCTCCTTCTTGCTTAGCTTCTTTAGGTGTACAGATTTTAGTATGATTATCCTATATTATATGTCTAATATCCACTTATGAGTAAGTATATACCATGTGTGTCTTTCTGCTTTTAGGATACCTCACTCAGGATGATCTTTTCTAGTTCCCCCACCATTTGCCTGAAAATTTCATGATTTTCTTGTTTTTAATTGCTGAGTAGCATTCCATTGTGTAAATGCACCACAATTTCTGTATCTATTCCTCAACCGAGGAACATCTGGGTTGTTTCCAGATTCTGGCTATTATAAGTAAAGCTGCTATGAACATAGTTGAGCAAATGTCCTTGTTATATACTTGATCATATTTTGTATATATACCAAGGAATGGTATAGCCAGATCTTGTGTTAAGTTTTATGTAGTAGACATGGCGAAACAATTTAGAAAGGAAATCTCCCCTATGAAAGCTAAACTGACATTAAAGGCCGAGCAAACAAAGACTGGGCCACCAGTTTTCATCGTATTTTGCTGATGTTTGGGGTTGATTTGGGAAAGATGTGGCTAGAAAAAACGCATCAAGTAGTACCTAGATCTCATCTAACGTGATTTCTGCCATGATTGTAATGACAGAAGCTCCAAGCAGGAAACTAAAGAGGAACCCATGGAGGAACACTGTATATTGGCTTACTCTTTGCATTGCTCACTGCTAGGTTTCTTACATGGAGCAGATCCAGCTGCCTAGGGAGGGTACTCCCCACAGTGGGCTGAGCCCTCCCACAGCAATCCTCAATCACAGTAGTTCCTCAAGGCTTAGCCACAAATTCATAATTCTTCAATTGGAGTTTCCTCTCCTAAGTGACTCCAAGTTATGTCAACTTGTCATTAAAACCTAACCTGCATAAGGATGTAATGTTTTTTGTTTGTGGAATCAATAACTAAGAAGAAATTTAGGGTGCTGCTTCAGTTATTTTCATTGACTGATGAATACAATTTCTTTCTAGATTTTGTTGTTTACCTTTCAAATATTATTACTTAGTATATCTCCTGTGCTTACACCGGCACTGAGTAGATTTAGAGTAGAGGCCACCCAGTTGCACAGTGAGCAAACATTAGTGATGACAATGGAGAGGATTCCTAGAATCTATATGTAGCTATTTCCCTCTGTAACATCCGAAATCTTGAAAAGTACAATGCTATCTGTTGTCATAAGCTCTAATTTTGGGCAGGTCCTCACACAGATCTGGGTTAGTCCTAGCAAGCAAATGAAGGCCAGCACTTTAAGGAGTGTCTGCCATCAGTAGTTAGAAGCTACTACAAAGGCTCTTATATACATCAAATCTTTTCAGGTAGTCACTAACAGACAGTGGACTATAGTGTGGTCAAACCAGGAAGAGGAAGAAGAAGGAGGAGGAGGAGGAAGAGGAGGAGGAGGAGGAGGAGGAGGAGGAGGAGGAAGAAGAAGAAGAAGAAGAAGAAGAAGAAGAAGAAGAAGAAGAAGAAACCCTTAGTTTCTGTCCACTTTTTCTGTAGTAGTGTTACAGTTTCATAGAAAAGGTGGAACAGAGGACAGGGGCTATGCATGTCAAAAGCATGTGCAGTC